GGGGCGGGCGCGGCCGGGGCCCGCCCTGGCGCGGCGGTTGGCGCGGGGAGGGCTCGGGCGGGGTCGCGCAGGGCCGGGAGCCGGCTCCGCGTTCGGTCCGCTGCGCCCGAGTCGCTGGGCCTGCTGGGGGGCGCGCAGCCCGGCGCGGAGGGGGCGGCGGGGAGGGGCCGTGGGGACGTGGCGGGGCTGGTCCGCGCGGCGCTCGGGAGCGGGCGCCCGCCACCCGGGGAGATGGGCTCGGGAGGGGCAGCCGGGGATCCGCCCTTTTCCGTCTCTGAAGCAGCCGTCGCCGAGGTGGACAAATGTCCCGCCTTCCCCCTTCCCCAAAGGGGACAGTCCTGAGGATGCTTCTTGGCTCCTGGGATGCAGCTGGCCAGGCCCCGCCGCAGCGTTTCCTTCCCGTTTTCCAGCCTTTCCCGCAGGCCCGGTGGTGCGGGGCGCAAAGGGGGTGAGCTGGGCCCTGCCCCCGGGGAGCCAGCTCACTGGGCTGCAGGGCCTGACGCCGCCCCGGGGGCTGCCGCGGTTGGTGGTGGACAGGGGGTATGGCGGGGCCCATGTCCTGTGCTCTGGCCAGCCCCAGGGAGGCTTCCGAGAAAAGGCGGTCTTTTAGCTGAATCTCAAGGATGAGTATTGGGCGGAGGGGACACCGCGAGCGGCCCCCCCAGCGCGCAGTGGGGAGCGCGCGTGAGTTCTGGGTAGAGAGCTTTCGGAGAGGAGCGCGAGTGGGGAGGGGAGGGAGCAGGGGCCGCGTGGGGCGGGACGCCAGCCTGATTCGGGGTGAGGGGAGGGGATGGTGGGTTTCTGGGTCGGGGGTGGGGGTGCACGCCCTCAGGGCTGTTGCTTGGGGCGGGAGCTGCTGCCCCAGCCAGGACGGAGGGCGGAGGGCGAGGGTGCGCGCCTTAGAGGTTTTGCCGGGGTCTTCAGGGGAGCGCCTCTGCCGGTGCTCGCACAGCAGCGTTCTGGTGCCTGCGGGGTAGTAGTTCGTTTTCTGGACGTCTTGACGGCTGGGACTGTGGGCAACTGCAGAGACACGGGGTCGGGGGAAAGTGGAATCTAAGAAAATCTGAGCATCAGGAATTCGCAGGAGCGCAGAGCGACTACCGTCTGCATCACGGTTTCTGACTCCAGAGTCCTCACTGTCGCCTTCCCAAACGAGCCTGTCCTCTCCTGTCCTGTCTCTGCACATGTGGCTGTGTGTGGGAGCGTCTGGGACTGGGGGGGCTGAGGGCTGGGCTTCGGGTCCCCCCATGCCCTGCCTCCCCCCAGGAGGCCTCCTTGGTTCCCAGGCAAGAGCAAGGTACAAAACGTATCCATCTGGAGAGACTCCTTGTCCCTGACCAGAACCACATTGGTGTGAGGGTGTCCAGGGACCTGCCACAGGGTGCCACCAAGGGCATCAGCGGGCTCTGAGCTGTCTGGGCCTGGCCCTGGCTGCCACGGCCCTGGAGGCTCAGATCCTGGGAGCCACTGGGGGTTTAGACGGCACTTGGCTGGGAGGGGCGGCTTGCTGTGACTGGTGGCACTGCTGCTTTCCACACGTGCTGGGAGTTCCAGGGCCACCGCCTGCCTGCGAATGGGCTGGCTCTGCATTTGGGGTGCCCAGGACTGTCCTGGACCGTGCTTCGTAGTCAGCAGTGGCCTGCCGCGCCCGGAGGTGCCCGGAGGTGCGTTCTCTCGTCAAGCAGGAGAGCCTAGCGCGCATCCGCCGGCTGCTTTGGCTTAGCCAGGGACTCCCAGGCCCGGGAAGGCAGGGACTTCCCTGGAGGCCACAGAACAAGCATGGATGACCTCCAGCCACAGAACGGTTCTGGACGCTGCCGTGTGCCTAGCACGCAGCCGCCGGCCCCCATGAGCTCGACAGCCGTGGACAAGAGTCAGGCCCGGCAGCGCACATCGTGTTGGGGGCGGCGCCTGGTTCTCTGGGGGGATGGCGGCTGGCGGAGGCGGTTCTGCTTCAGACACTGTCTGGGCGTGAGCTGGAGCCCAGCGGTCAGACACACCTGGAGGAACAGGTTGGGCCACATTGAGGGCCTGATGGCATTAGAGGGCCCAGGGCATGTGGGGTGGGGTATTACTTGGGGAGGGCTGTCAGGACTGGGGTTGTGGGGAGCCTCGTTGGATGGGGGTGGCTGCCGGTGGGAAGAGGTGGCGGGAGAGCACATTGGAGGCTCTGGGAAGGCTGGCCCTGGGCTTGCTGGTGGTGGGATTGTGGGCCGAGGGGAGACCGTCATTGCATCATTAGATCTGAGCTGTCCCTCACATCACGGTCACCCAGACGGGAAGGACGCAGCAAACATCGACGTGCTAGCGGTTGCCTGATGTGACCCTGTTTCTTTTCTTATTTTTAAAGATTTTATTTCTTCATTTGACAGGGAGCAAAAGAGAGAGAGAGCACAAGCATGGGGAGCGGGAGAGGGAGAAGGAGGCTCCCCGCTGAGCAGGAAGCCTGACGCGGGGCTCAATCCCGGGAGCCCAAGATCATGACCTGAGCCGGAGGCAGACGCTCAACTGACGGAGCCCCCCAGGCGCCCCAGAGCTGAGGAAATAATTGTGCCTCTAGTCCTGTGAGCAGAAGAGGGAAAGCAAATGAGGGGGAGAAGGGAGATGGTTTGGGAAGTGGTGCCAGCCAGGTACTCTGTGACAAGGGCCTGCCCTCCCTTAGGCTGTTGTCCCCGGCCCTCGCCCCCAGCCCTCCCCTGAGCACTAGGTCCCCGTCCTGCTGGACTGGAGGCTCCGTGGTCCTCCATGGCTCGGCCTGTCTTGCTAGGTGTCCTTGGCACTCCCCCAGGCCTGTGCTGCTCTCCCCAGCACGTTGGTCACCCAACCCCTCCACCCTGCCACTCTCGTGGCCCCACTCAGCACTTTCTGTGGCAGTCAGCGGCGCTCTGGTGTCCCTCTGGTTCATCAGAGATGCCCCGTGGTCAGCCAGCCTCCGGCCTCCCTTCCTAGCTACCGCTCACAGACGGGCAGCCTTGGCCGACTGCCCGCCTTCTCCCTCATTCCACCCAGACCGTGCCTGCCGAGGTCGGGGAGACGTTGCCGTGCAGGTCCGGCAGTCGGTTAGGTCCAGGTTGTACTCCAGCTGTCCTCTCAGAGGTCTCCCCACTGACGTCTTTCCCTTTCTCCCGCTGGAGCCTCTGTGGTTGGCCCTCTGCTGGGGGCTGCTCCCAGGGCACCTGTGTCCCCAGGCTTCCATCATCCGGATGGAAGGGCCTTTGTGACAGATGTGCAGGTCTGGGACAGGGAACTGATGTGACTTTCTCATGCTGCTGGTTTAGTCAGGAAGCCCAGTGGGGCTGGCTCCCCACTGTGGGGACCGAGTGCTCTGTGGGCCCGGGGCTCAGGTTACAGGCTCAGGCCCTTCAGGGCGTCTGCTCTGGGGCCAGCCCAGGTTAGGCCCTGGGTCTGCAAAGATGCAGAGGAGCAGGTGAGGTGTCCAGAGAGCCCCACTGTTGCATCGTGGGCAGACGTTGTGACGGGAGCCAAGAGGGGGTGAGCACCTGAGTTGGCCCAGGGCGGATGAGTAGGGGATCCTAAGATGAGGTCACATGCCCGCAAAGGCTGGGTGGTCCCTGGAGGCTGCCTGGTGGGGAGAGCCCTGCAGTGGGCCAGGTGAGGCGGGAAGGGCAGGGCTGTGCAGCAGGGCCTCCCGGATCGCGGAGCACAACCTGCGGGAGGACTGACGATGCCTGGGCGGGACTAGGCAGGGGCTGGCTGCGGGCCGGCAGGGGCTGGCTGGTCCTCCCGGCCCCTCCGTCCTGTCGTGTGATGGGGGCTCCCCACCGTGTCCGACTGCTGACTGCCCCTTGAGTGGCCCAGGGTGTCCTTAGGCCAGAAAGGGCTTTCTCTTTGCTCCAGTGTTTGGGCGGCTGATGCCTGGGGAAGGGCAGCAAGCCCCCTGAGTCCACGGAAGGAGAAGTCCCTGTGAGAGGGGCTGGGCTGCTGCGGGGTGGGGTGGGGGGGGCCTGGGCTGAGGTGTGCCGCCCAGGAAGCTGGTTTTGTGCTCTTCCGGGCTCTTGTCTTGCTGTCTGGGCTTGCGTTACCTGTGCAGGTGTTCAAAGGCTGGACGTTGGTGACAGGACTGAGTAAGCCAGAGAGCAGGGACCCACAGCTTTCTGGTGCTCTGGGAAGGGCCACATCTCTATGCTCTGGGCTCTAGGAGGGAGGGGGGCAGAAGCTTTTGTGCTCAGGGCCCCCCTCTGTCTGTCCTCAGTACCTAGGGTCGTCTGTTCTGGGGCCGGGCCTGGGACTGGCTCTGTGGAGGCACCTTCCGTACTGTGCTCTGCTGTCAGCCGGGGGGGATGTCCCCTGGCTGGTTTGAGACGGAGCCGCAGGACGCCTGCGGGGCTCAGTGGGTCACACGTCTGCCTTTGGCTAGGGTCATGGTCCCAGGGTCCTGGGACCGAGTCCTGCTCAGCGGGAGGACTGCTTCTCCCTCTGCCTGCAGCTCCCTTCGGCTGTGTGCTCTCACTCTCTCTCTCTGATGAGTAAATCAAATCTTAAAAAAAATTACCAAGGCTTCCCCGGGCTATAAAACCGGAGCCGACAGAGAGGCTGGAAATAGGAGCAGCCCAGGGTCTTTGTGCCCGTGTCAGGCCTGGCAACTTCTTCCAGGCTCACCCCTTTCCTCCTGCCCCGTCCAGTGCCCCGACTCACTCGTGCCCTGGCCTCGGGGCCCCACAAGCTGGTCCTCCTCACAAAGCCCGTCCCTGTTGTACAGATGGGAACCAGGCTCAGTGAAGACAGCACTCCAGGCCCTGCGGGCAGGGAGGGCAGAGTTGGGGTTCACTGGGGTCGCTACGGCTCTCCCCGCAGACCCAGATTTCACGAGAGGTGTTCTGTGACTCTGGAAAGGGAGCATTTGGGAACTGCCGTTGGAGCCATCCCAAGCCACTGACCGTGGGGGAAGGGGCTCCCTGGGTAGGGGTGGTCCAGCAGCTGGGGCTGCCCGGAAGGAGGGCACTGTGAGTTCAGGGCCAGGTTGCCGGCCCTCGGCCTCCTGCTGGTCGACTCTGCCCAGACTGTGGCTGGTCCACCCCCTGCGGGGCTTCTGGGTGGACAGTGAGCCCACAGCAGTTCGGCGTCAGCTTGATGGAGAAGGTGGGCCCCACACCCCTCCCTGCCTTGAAGTTCCCATGGAGAGGGTGACTCTGTCCCACTCCCAGGGTCTGGGCTTCCTTTTCAGAGGCCGAGGGGACCCGGCTGTGGAGTGCGAGGACCAGACACTCCCGCAATGACCAGGTGGGTGTTGGGCGGCAGGTGGTCCCCCCTGGGGGATAGGGGATGGGCCCTACTTGGCCCCCAGCCCTTCCTTATGTGCTTGGGCACCCCCAGTTCCCCTGTCTCCAGAGTTGTCTACAACGGCAAGAGGAACAGTAGCCCCCGCTCTCCCCCCAGCAGCAGTGAGATCTTCACCCCAGCCCACGAGGAGAATGTGCGTTTCATTTATGAAGGTACGTGGGGCTCCCCCAGCCAGGGCTGGGGCTCCGAGAAATCCCCAGAGCCCCCAGTGCCATCCCAGAGTTCGGGCTCTTGCCTGGCCTGGTCTTCAGGGGCCACGTCTGGTCGTGCGGGGGTGGGGGAGTGTGCGGCTCCCAGGAGAGGAAGCAGTGGTGTGGGCCAAGTGGTCTCCAGGAGAGGGAGCCCCTGCAGGAGACGGGAAGACAGGGTGCTCTGGGAGGACCCAGCCGTGTGGAGATGTGTGGCTGGGTGCGTGTGCCCAAGTGTGCCAGGAGGGGGGACAGGTGGGGCGCCCGAGCAGAGGACGGAGAGCGCTGGGTCACGTGTGTGTCTGCGAGCCCGCCAGGAGCCAGTCCGGGCGGGGGGGTGGGGTGCAGAGAGCGGGGAAAGGGCGCTCTGAGGACAAGCTCAGCAGTCCTGGGGGCCGGAAGCCGTGAGGTAGGGGGCTGGGGAGTGGGGGAGGAGGAGGGGCCCTGACCACTTGGACTCTGCCTGACTCCCCAGCCACACTGGGGTGCTGATGCCACCCCCTTGCCTTTCACAGCCTGGCAGGGCGTGGAGCGAGATCTGCGGAGCCAGATGTCAGGCAGCGAGCGGGGCCTGGTGGAGGAGTACGTGGAGAAGGTCCCTAACCCCAGTCTGAAGAGTGAGTGGAGGAGCCGGCCTTGGGGGGGGCCCAGCCAGGGGGCGGTGCTGGGGGGAGGGCTGGAAGACAGCGTGGCACAGTGCCCCGGTTCCCCGGGCTGCCAGGGGCAGGTGCGGGACGGGGCCTGGACCTTGCCTCTGCGTCCATGCCACCACTGACCACTCTGTCCCCCGACAGCCTTCAAGCCCATCGACCTGAGCGACCTGAAGCGCCGGAACACGCCGGATGCCAAGAAGTCCTGAAGCGTGCCGTGTCCCTCCCCTGGCCTCCAGGAGACCGGGGCGCCGCCTGATGCTGGGAGGGGGAGGGGCTGTAAACCCCAGGATCAGGAGGGGCACGATCGCTGGCCATGGCCTGCTTTCCTCCCCGAGTCCCCTCCTTTCTTCTCGGGGTCCCCAGCTGCCCCTGTCGCTGGGGGGAGGCCCTGCCGGCCCCTGCTCTCCCCGGAGCTGCGTCTTTGGAGCTGCCTGCTCTGCCCGCCCCCAGTCCAGGGCCTTGACTCCGACTTCTCTTCCCATCACCTCCTGTTGCCCTACCGCCTGAGCCCATACCCCCTGGCCGCTTCCAAGGTCATGAGGGGGACAAGGGGGCCTCTGCTCTTTCCCAGGCTGGTGGGACTGGGCTTGTCCCTGAGGGGGTCAGGAGGCAGACGGGGATGCCCTCTCCCATAGCAGTTGTGCACCCCCCCCCACCAAGCCCTGCTGCTTTTCTGGGCTGGACACCTCGGGGAGCATCTGATCCTTCACCCCGTTGTCCAGCCTGGCCCCTTCCTTTCCTGCATCAGCTTCAGGATGGCACTGAGCACCCCCTCAGAGAGGGTCCTGGGCGACCGGGCCTAGCCCCTTGCAGTCTGCGGCCCTGAGGCCACAGGTGTCCCCGCGGGTAGGGGTGTGATGACCCTGGCCCTGTACCATGTGCTGGGATGGTCCCCAGGGCCCCCTTTTCTTTCTGTGCCCTTCAAAAGCCGAGTGTCTGTGCCCGGAGCCCGAGGACCAGTGAATAAAGGCGGGTGGTGCTGGAGCGGCCCCTTAGTCTGTCAGGCCCCTGTCCCGGCAGCCCACAGAGGGCTGGAGACCCAAGGTCAGGCCCCACCCTGAACTCCAGAAATCCCATCAGCTCCCTGGGTTCCTCTAGGGGGTCTCAGGCCTCCTGCAGGGGGCAGTGGGTGCTGGGGGAGGAGAGAGGCTGAGGGGGCTCTCCTGTGCTCTTCAGGGACCATTGCCTTGGGGGTGGGGACCCTGGACGCAGGAGGCTCCCTCTGCAGCCCTGGACCCTGGGGGAGTGGTTCCTCCACTGTTCCGATGAAGGGGTGGCCGCTGGGCCCTGAGAGAGACCCAAGTCACTTGACCTTCAAACCTGGAAAGCCCTGGTAGGCCAGGCCTGATACGCGGAACTGGAGTTTATTTCGGGAACATGCTTTCCTGGAAGAGTACTCTGGGGCCTACAGGTGACTCCAAGAGGCGTCTTCTTGGGGGGGGGCTCCCAGGGACAGGGCACAGGAAGGACAGGTCACGTAATAAACAGCCGCCTTGGCTCACTGCCAGTGGGAGCTGGCAGGTGCCAGGCCCTGCACCAGGTCTCTAACCGCGTGGCTTTGTTTGCTCCCTGGGGACCTGTGGGTGTTTTGCCGAGGGTTCGAGTGCCCCAGTCACCCTCCCTGGCCTCCTGCGCTGGTGGTGATACCGTGGGCCTGTCCACTCGACCACTGGGGGTGTGGGGACCACAGGAGACCCCTCGAGGGCATTTCACTCATATCCCTGCCCACTTAGCTTTTGCGTGGGATGGAGGCGCTCAGCCTGGGGTCTTTGTGCCAAGACCCACCTCAGAGGTGGAGTGTGGCTGAGAGGCCACGTGGCAGGAGGGTGAGTGGAGCTCAGCTGGGCACTGGAGGTGGAGGCCCTGGAGGCAGGGAAATGGGTGGGCGTGGAGCCATCCCTTCCCTAACCTGGGGTCCATGTGTCCCATTTGGAGATTCTACCTAATGGGTGAGGACTCTGAGCAGTCATACAGGGGGTGTCGGGGACCAGAAGGGAGAGGCAGATGGGGCAGAGGGAGGCTGGCTAGTGGGGGAGGTCCTTCCTGTTTGTCTGGCGCAGCTCTCGGACCGGGCTGGGCCGGGCCCAGCCTCAGCTGTGCTGCCTCCTCCCCATCCAGGCTGCTGGAATCTTCACCGTGGCCGTGTGGGTGCCCGTGAGCGTCTGGAGACCCCTGCCCTCCAGTGAGCATCTTGGAGCGGGGACGTCCCCTTTGCTCCGCCGCCCTGTGCCCCACACGTGTGCGCATCAATTGCTAGTTCATCCTGGGGCGAGTTTATCACCCTACCTTTACCTCCTTTCAGAGGACGGCCTTACTCAAATTTTTAGGTTTTTACTTTTATCACAATTTTGATTTAGTAAATACTGAGCATGTTTATGTGTACGGCCTGAGCAATAATTCCCAGGTACTTGGTGCGCAGTCCGTGTTCCTTGTAACATCTGAGTATGTTCTAGGCGGCTTACGGACTCAGGATGGAAAGGTCTGCCGCCTCCCTCTGCCGGGCCTGTCCCTGAAGGCTCACTGCCCCTCCCCCTTTGATGTATTGAAGGCCCCTTGGGTGCTTCAAGGGGCAGTTGCATTCTGCCTTTGGCCGGTCACCTCCTCCTGTTGACAGGCACCTCTGTCCCCCACATTTCTGTAAGCTGAAGTGAGGTGCAGGTCTGGATGGGGCGGGGAGCGGTGGCTCTGGCTGCTGTTGGGAGCAAGATTCAGGTGGCGGATTCAGGGCAGAAGCAGACCTGTTGCGGCCGCCTCCGTGAGCCGGAGGAGGAGGAGGAGCTGGGGGCGGGCGTGCAGAATTTGAGGGGATGAATGGGAAGGTGAGTCCAAAGTATGGGTTTGGGAGGCCCACGGGGGTGGAGATAGGCTTGGGAAGTCCTCTAGACTGATAGTTTCTCATACCCGTAAGGGAGGAGGGTGGCCTGACCCCCCGCACTGCACTCAAGGAGGGGGGAGGTAGCAGGAAAAAGGGCTCAGAGAAAGCAAGGGGGCCGGGGGTGCTGGGCTGCGGGAGCGTCCCGGGGGAGGTGCTTCGTGCAGAGTGGACTGGCCCTCGCGCCTTGCCCAGCGCACCGTTTTCAGCTCTTCGTCTGTATTTCTGCTTCTAAGCACAGACACACGCGCGCGCGCGCGGTTCCTTCTTGGTTTCCCTGTTTCATCCCCCTACACGCTTCCCGGCCACCGTGCCGCCCGACAGACCGGGCTTTCTCTCCCCGCTCCGGTCACGGTCACGCCGGCGCCGAGCGTTCATTACCATATCCGTGCGCAGAGCTGAAGCGGGTGGTAAATTATGATGGTTTTTCTTTTCTGCCCGTTTTGTTTTCCTTGAAGCTACTCATGGCCCCTTTTCACTTGGTTGGTTTTCTGTGCGCTACACTAAGTCTTGAACTGTCCACCGGGTCATCTAACTTCCGCAGTGCGCGCAGACGCTGGTGCCCGGAGGATGTGTCTCCTGGTAACTGCCCTGCTTGAGGTCCCCTTCCCCGTGACGCGCCCTCCGCCGGCACCGCTGCCGCCCTGGGCTGCCTCTCAACTCTCCTAGGGTTGACCTGTGTGTCGTCATCCAGGTTGTCCTCGTCCTCGTTCTTCACTCTGTAGTAGCACGCGCGTGCACACGCATGTACACACGCACGCGTGCGCACACATGCCAAGTGGGGCCGTGTATTTGCGGCAGGGGCCGGAGGTCAAGGACTGTCGTGGAGATGGGAAAGAGGCAGAGGCCCTGGAGTGCTCATGTTCCTGGACCGAGAGATGTGAGGGCGCTGGGCTGTGGGAAAGCGCCCCCCACCCACGCCCGCAGGGCGGCCCGCCAGAAGCCGGTGTTCGTTGGCGGGGCTGGTGCCGCCCCCGCCAGGCCTCTGCCCCCGCCCTCAGCCCTGCCGGTCCGCTCCAGTTCCCCTGGGGACCGGGACAAGGTGAAGGAGAAGGAGGGCAGAGGGAGTCAGGCTGGGGCGGGCTGGCAGGAGGCCGCTGGCTGAGCGGCTCGCCCCCACCCCCAGGCGGTCCCCAGCCCTGAGCGCAGCGGGCGTGAAGGAGAACGGCTCTCCGCGTGCTTCCGGGCGCACGGGCTGGTGGGCGCGCCCCGTGGCCGCGGCTCCGGAGGGCCAGAGAGAGGCAGTCTGAAGCCTCAGGGTCAGGGGCCGCGGTCTGGCCGCCGCGTGGCCGACCCTGCCCGTCCCCGCACCGCCGCCCGCCTGCCTGGGCCACGAGAGCTCCGTGTACCCCGACCAGCCCCTCCCATGTCCCTCCCCGCCGCGTCCCGGCCCGCGGGGCTGTGGGCCCCATGGGGTGACGGGCCCCCTCAGGAGGGCCCCAGTGCCTGGCGGGGGAGTAATTTTATTTACCTTTCCTGAGAGGCCTTCTGTCCGCTCATTTTCTCCAATTAGCCTGTCTCTGCCTGAGCAACTCCAGCCCACGTGGCCCGAGGAGGCTGTGGGCACCCCACACCCTTGAGCTCCGAGGTCACCTCCCGCCGGTGCCTTGAAGCGGGGGCACCTGGCCTACGGAGCAGTGTGTGCTCTCTGGTGTGGCTCCTTCCTCCTCCCGGGGCGCTCCCGACCCGTGAGCACAGCCCCCGCGCCATCTCCGCTCCTGCACTAGCTCCCCAAGACGGCGACCTGGGCCTCGGCGTGCGCCCCCAAACGGTTGGGCTCCGCACCCCAGGGCACTGCCTGGCTCTTCCGGTGTGGGACGCTCGCTCCCCTCAGGGTCACGGCCTGCCCGGCAGGGTGCCCACCCACATACTGTGGACAGGGTCCTTGCTGCACACGGCCACCCAGCCACGCGCCGGTGTGGAGGGGGTCGGGCCCTTCTGCCAAGCGATCGTGTCAGGACCACAGAGGTCTCAGGAAAAGTGCTGCTGCCATCACTCCGTCATTTGTTTGCGGTGGTTGGTTTCTCCCCCTTTTATCTGGATCGTCTGCCAATGCCCTTGTTGGGCCTGAGTCCGGCCCCGGCCGCGAGGCCAGGAGACAGCCAGAGGTGTCCACACGGGGCTGGTGGGAAGTGCAGCGCGGGGGGTTTCCCTAGGCATCCCCCACCGTTCACATGCCTGTTTGGGCAGATGGTGACTCTCTTGGGGTCTGGGAGCCAAAACAAACGGCGGGCCATCCACTCTGGCCCAGGGCGTGCTGCATCCCTCTTAAACCAGCAAGGGAGGGCGGCCGGAAACCACTCCAGCGGGGGTGGGGCGTGGGGGGCGCACTGTCAGCCATGAGTCATGTTTGGGACCCTCTCGGGGGTTCCAGTTCCAGTTCATCTGTAAAGTGGGGACTCCTTGAGGGAGCACACTAGCTCTCATTCCCAAGCGAGGCTGCTCCCTTCCGATGGGGAGGCCCTGGCCCAGCGCGTACCTCTCCCTCAGCCCAGCTCTCCTGGGTGTGCCAGGCAGCCCCGGCTTGGACACTTTATTGTCGGAGAATACACGTTTCCTTGAGCTCGGCCCGCCGGCAGGGCTCCTCACAGCACGTGCCCCACCGCAGCACGGAGCAGGTGTGCAGGGAGCCCTCGGACCACCCCACTGTGGACGGTGGGCAGCGAAGCCACCACGGCTCCCAGCCCTCCTGCCGCAGCTGGGCATCTGGCTCTGCGTGGTCCAGCAGTGCCCTCTCTCAGCCCCTGAGTCCAGCCCCAGCTGGGCCTCCTGGGGCCTCCTGGAGCTTTAGAAGGGGCTCTCGGCCAGCCCGGGGAGGCTGCTGACCAGGCGGGGGTCTGCAGAGGGGACCCGGCCAGTCCCATTGCTGCTGCCCCCGGACCTGGAGAGCAGTGGCTTCTCGCTGGGGGGGTCGCCAGTGGGCCGGACTGGGGGTCCGAGCCTGCCGGTGTGGCGTTCTTCCTGCAGCGAGCGACCGGCACGCCAGCGGTTCCAGCGCCGCAGCAGCTCCGACTGCACCTGGGGTGGGGGCGGGGCAGGTCGGGCCAGTCCCATAGTCCCAGCCTCCCAGCCTTGAAGGACTATGGGGCCCCGGGTGCAGAGCAAGGCAGGCTCCAGCCAGAACACTGGGCTCTTCCTTGTCTGGGTGCCCCCTTCACCGTGTGCTCCCTGAGGACCAGCCCAAGGCCGTCTCGGGGTGCGGCACCCAGCATCATGGTGACTGACTAGTAAGCGCAGACGGACGTGAAGGGCTGCACCACCCCCCCAGCTGCATGGGGGAGGGCAGGGAGCCTTGGTGCCGCTCTGTCCCTGGCTGCTCCCTGGGACCAGACGTCCCCACCTACCTCCTTATTGAGGAAACAGTACAGAACAGCCACCAGCAGGCCCTGGAGAGAGGGGCCAGTCAGGGCAGCACCCAGGCCGGGGGGACCCAGGTGGTTATAGGGGGCAGGGCGGCACCTGGAAGGAGCTGAGGAAGAGGTCGAAGAAGAGCTTGGCAGAGCGCAGGGTCCCCTGGGCGTGCTCATCGGTCACGAAGGCAAACACCACTTCATGGACCCCCAGCAGAGGGATGAGGGTCAACGTAGACTTCGCCAGCCTGTGGGTGGGAGTCTGAGCCGCGGGGCCTAGCCCCGCCCGCTGGGGGGCCCCTGGCCCTCCCCCGCCCCGCCCCTCCTGGCCCCTGCGGTCGGGGGGGGGGGGGGGGTGTCTCGGGCTCTGCTGGCTGCCCGCACCCACCGGAACTTGTAGTCTGTGTAGCGCATCTGGCGGGCTCGCAGTTTGGCCGTGAGGATGAGAAGGATGCGGATGAAGATGAAGAAGTTGATCTGCGTGTGGAGGGCGCAGCTCAGGACAACCCCGGACCCCGCCCTGAAGCCCTCCTGTCCCCCATGGCCCTGGGGCTGCTGGGCCCCCAGCTGGGGACGGGCGGCCGAGCCCGAGGCCCGGGTCCGCCTGAGTGCCAGGGCCTCGCTCCGTCTGCCCAGGCAGAATGTCAGGCGAACCAGCAAGGGGGTCCGGGGGCAGGGCTGGGGCGGGCAGACCCCACGGCCTCTCTGCTCCTCTGTGTGGGGCCAGCAGGGGCTGCACGTGCGTGTCCTCACCAGGATCGCCAGGAACACAGGGAAGCGCAGGATCCACCAGAAGGCCATGTTGTCGTTGCGGGTCCAGCACCTATGGGCGGGGCCAGCTCACACCCCGCCAGCCCCCCATCCCCTGACGTCATGGGGATCCAATCAGCACTTGGGGTAGGAGGGGGATGGTCCTAAAGGACCCCCATCCTGGGGCAGTCTTGCTTTCCCGCCCACCACCTCTGGCTACAGGTGCCCCCCACACGCCCCAGTGCTGCCCGGATACTCCCCACAGACCCAGCCCAGGGCGCCGCACCCAGAAGGGGTGAGCCCCGGGCTGCCTCGGGTCCAAGTTCTGGTCGGCTCATACTCACTGGATGTTCTCGAACAGGCACTTGACCACGGCCCAGGGGATGACAAAGAGCATGGGGGCGCCTGCGGGGAGGGGGCAGCTGTGGTCCGGTGGCCCCGGCCAGCCTGTCCCCCACCATGCCGGCCTACTCACCCCAGCCGATGCCCAGGTAGAGGGCGAAGAAGCTCCTGTCCGGGAGGGCGGCGAGGCCCAGCAGGCTGTGCAGGTACACGCCCTCCACCAACAGCCAGCTGTAGTTGGCCACCACGCCGTACTGCATGAACACTGCGGCCACCCGGCAGCCGGCCACCGCCTGGCCGCAGGGGCCGTGAGCTCAGGTCACACGCCCCCCGCCGCCCTGGGGCCGGGCGCCCGGAGGCGTGGGTGCTCACCCCGTCACTCAGCCAGATGCTCACGCGGAGGTCGTCCCCGATCTTCTGGCTGTACCGTGTCTTAAGCAGCGCATCAATGACCAGCACGGAACTGGCCTTGAGCACGAAGGACGCAAACAGGTTTGCGTGGATGTAGTTCCGGGTGCAGCGGAGCTGGCTGCGGGGACAGGGGGTCAGGGCCCGCCTGCTGCCCTGCCCGCGGGGTGGGGGGCCGAGCGGTGGGTGGGGGTGGCATACCTGAGGCCCAGCAGGAGAGCCAGGGCCAGCAGCAGCGCCCCCAGGGACAGAGAGTACCCCACTGTGTACATCACCTGAAGGCCACTGTACATCTCGGCTGCCTCCTTCTAGGAAGGGCAGTGGCTGGTCAGGGCCGGAGAGCCACTGCGCCCGTCCCCCCCGGCCTGGCTCCTGCCGCACCTGCCGTGGGCTCACCTGGCCCTCGAGCTCGTGCTCGTCCATCTGGCACTGAGACGCGTTGCGCCAGGACTGCCCCTGGGGCCCGCGCACCCACTGCCCGTCGGGCCCGCACTTCTTGAAGACGAGGCGGTGCTGCACTGGGGGCCCAGGCTCCGATCAGCACCTGAGCCCTAGCCTGGGCCCCCTCTGCCACCCCCCACTGCCCCTCTGTGGTCACCTTTGGGGTGCCAGGGCAAGTACCAGGGGCAGGATGTGTTGGCCGTGGTGTTGGCAGGGGTGTCCGGCCAGCAGGCATACTTGTCAAAGGTTCTATTACAGACCAGCTCTGCAGGGCGAGGCAGGACGGGGGGTGCCCCTCAGCAGGGCTGGGCTCCTCCCGGAAGCCCCCATACCCCACCCTCTGCCCCCAGCATGCAGTCTCCCCCCAGATCTCCCTGGGTCCCGGCAGCCGCCTCCCCTCGCGCACCTCACGTCCCCAGTGCACCCCAAACCCACCTGGATTCGCTCCTCCTTCTCTGGGGCGGAACCCCTGTCTATTGGCTTCCTTCCAGGGTCCAGGGTAAGCTCCATAGCTCAAACCCCATCCTTCCCTCTGCCCAGCACGGGCCCCCTCCCACGGTCAGACAGTGGCACTTGGCCTGCTGGCAAGCCACTCCTACCCTGACCTCCTGCTCTGACTCTACGTGGCCCTCAGGGCTTGTACGGAAGGGGGTGCTCGTCCCCACTTGAGCCCTCCCCAGGAGGGCCCATCTCCCTCTCCTGCCTAGGCCTTGTGTGGTCTGGCCGCTTTCGTGGGCTGCCTCCCCCCAGCACTGGCTGCCCCCTGGGCCTGGAGCTCCCCGGGAGCAAAGCTGGTGGCCCTGGGACCAGCGGGAGGGCAGGGGGGGGCGGCAGGCACCCAGTTCTGAGGCAGTTCTACCATTTCTTTTATATGTTGGGGTGTGGTTTCGGGGACGTCCCTGACTGGCCTCTCCATGGTTCCCTATCAATGGGGGACAGGGGAACAGGGCCTTGTCCGGCTGGGAGCTCCAGAGCCGTTGCCTGGCCAAGCCCGGGACTTGGAGGAGCGGCCAGAGGCTCACCCGTGGGTGGGGGCAGCAGGCTCAGGTTGGAGAGACACTGGTCACCGTAGAGCTTCCACTTCTCAAACAGGAAGTCCATCACCTGCGCAGATGGGGCCTGTGGCTGGGGGACAGAGGGAGGGACAGGTGGGACAGAGCCGCGTCAGCGGGGGGGGGGGGGGGGGGCGCGCCGCCCCCACCTGGCAAGCCAGCAGCAGCAGCAGCAGCAGCAGGGGGGGGGGGCAGTGCGGCGGGGCGGGGCACATGCCTGTGTGCGGCCACCCACCCACCACATCGGGCTGGGGCCGCACTGCCAGGCAGAGGGGTCCTTGTGGGGGCTTCTGGTTGGAGCAGTAGAGCCTGTGGACGGACACCCACGTGAGAAGGCCCGGCTGGGTCTGCTGTGACCAGCGGGCTGGGGGCTTTCCTCGAACCACCCTGCTGAGCCTCGGGTCCTATGGAGGAGGCAGGAGCCGGGAGGGAGAAGACACCCCAAGGAGTAGCTCTTTGCCGGTGACGGGGCAGGGGTCTGGCCGTGCGCCGGGAGGTGTCCTGGAGGTCCTCCGTCTCCCCTGGGTGGAGCTGGGTTTCCCGTGGCCCTGCCCGCGGCTGCCTCTCCCGCAGCTCACATGGCCCGGGAGCCCCACCCCTGCGGGGAGCAGCAGCCCCAGGACCCACCTCCTCCCTTCGGCCCTTGCCATCCTCCCCACCTATTCTTAGCCCCTGGGAAAGGCAGCGTGCCAGGCTGGGGCGGGACACCAGCGCCATCCATCACGGTGCCCTGGTTATCAAGGTGGCCCCGGGCCAGCTCCCAGCCCTGCCCAGGGGACCAGGAGTGCGGATACAAGCTCAGGATGGTCCCTGTCCCACACAGGCCCCCTTCCCAGGCCCTGGGGTATCCCTATGTGCCCTCTGGGCCCACGCAAGGCTCACGCCCAGCCCCTGGGGCCTGTAGCGCAGGTGGTCCGCAGCACAGTCCTTCAGGATGGTCAGTGCAGCGGCTAGGGGCCCAGACGTGGGACCCTTGCCCTGCTGGTGCTCGCTGGGCCTGGCCCAAGTCTGAGCGGAGCTCTGGGCCACAGCCCTATCTGTTCTCCTCTCCTGCTTTCTCTGACTCTGACTGAATTCCGCGGGGGCAGCAGGGAGGGGCCCCTTAGGGCCTGGGCTGTGGGCCCCGTAGGAATGACTTGTGTGAGCTCTCCAGGTCTGTGGATGGGCCCTGGCAAGCAGTGAGCAAGAGATGGATGGATGGATGGACCGTCGGACAGATGGACGGACAACCAGTAAGCTGGAAGACAGCGAGTGGCTGGGGTAAGGTGGGCCGCACGGGGTGCCAGCTCAACCCAGGACTCCCGAGACTCCCCCCTCGCCCCCGAGGGGACCCTGAGACACTACCACAGAGGGTGAGAGAGCTCAGGGATCTGGGGTGGGCACCTAGACCCCAGCCTGTTGTGGGGCTCCCGACCCGGCCCTCAGTCATGGGTGCAGGCCAGGCTTGGTGGAGGCCTCACCCAGCGGTCACTGGTCCCCAGTCCCTGGGCCAGGTGAGGCATCACCGGGCTGCGGGCTCAGGAGAACAGGGGCAACAGTGCGCACAACCCTTCCCGCAGGAAAGGTGCTGCAGGTGGAGACTGAGGGCAGGTTCGGCCCTCTCCAGCTCCGGGGTCACCCGAGGGGGTTCATCTTCATTCTGATCCGGCAGCCCTGTCTGCTGCCCTGCCCCTTGCCCAGCCAGGCCACCAAGCTGGGAGGGTAAGGAACAGCCCAGAACCAGCCTCTTGCATGCTGTGCCCAATGGCTGGAGGGAGAGGAGAGCTGGGCAGTCAGGCTTGGGGGTGCAGGGCGGCCCAAGAGGCTCGAGACTGTGCGTGAGAGGAGAGGATAGTGGCAAGGGCTGGCTGGGAGCATGGGGAGGAAGGACAGATGTTCCCTGCCCAGATGCCCTGCAGCTGGGGCTAGGGGCCGACAGCAAAGCAGCTCCAGGACCACAGGGCTGTCCCTCAGAGAAGCTGTTGGCGAAGTGGGAGCCCGGCCTGCCGACCCAGCTGTGCCAGGCTGAGGCCCTCAGGCCCTTGCCAGGGGTGCCCGGATGTGAGGCTGGCCCGTTTCTGGTTCTGGGACCGAGGGTGCACAATTTCCCTTTTCAGAGCCTCAGTTTCCCTTTTCAGAGCTTCAGTTCCCCCACTGGTCTAGCAGGGGTCCCTGCTTCCTTGTCATGAGGCATCTAGAGCTCTGCCACCAGAAGAGAAGGGGGGACTGTCGTCTCCAGGCCCCTCCTTCCCATGAGCCCCTGACGGGGGCAGGGGGTACGCTGTGCTGAATGAATGAGCTTGAAACCCAGGTGCTGAGGTGGTCAGAGGCACAGGCCCAGCGGCGCCAGTGACCCCGCTCCCAGGGGCTCCCCTGTCTGCCCGGGTGTTCGCCTTATTACCCTTGGCGGAGCCAGTGGGGGGGGGGGCATGGCCCTGCGGGACAAGCCTCCGCCCTTCATGGACCCAGTGGCCCTGCTCCCTCCCAGGTCCTGGACGTTCCCAGCACAAACATGAGCTCAGGGCTGGACGTGCAGCAGGGCTTCACATGGAGAGTCCAGGGTTGCCAATGGGTCTCCCTTCCCAGCACACCGCCATCCGCTCTCTCCCAGCCCCTCCGCTGTGCCCCCAGAGCTTTACGCCGCCCACCTCCCACAGGGGCATGGGTCAGGGGCTGCTGGCCCCAAGCCCCACGAACACAGCACTCCTTGGTGCTCAGGGCCCCGCTGGCATCCCAGCAGTTCCCACTGGGGTAGCTGAGGGACTCCCGACCCGGAGCTGGAGGAGGGCCCCCAGAATGGGTGGGTGGCCCGTCAGACAGGCAAGGGTGCAACGGTTACCCCCCCCCCCCCCCGCTTGTCCCACGAGGAGGATTCCAAGCCTCAGAAGGGTCTGCGCTGGGTGGGGGGGGCTGTTTTTGTGAAACCAGAGCAACTAGCAGGAAGGTCATGGCCCCTGGGGTAGGCTCAGGGGCCAAAGGCTGTTGACAGAGACGGATTCCTGCTTCCTCCCCACCCCCCTGGGGCGGGGCTGACCCGGATGCCACCAGGGTGCAACTCCCCACCAGCGTCAGTAGCCCCCCCACCCCGGCTCCGAAGGACCCAGACACAGCCAGGGCCGGTCCTCGAAGATGCGAGCGCCCAGACATCAGGGGGCCAGTCGGTTCAGGGTGGGGGCCTCAGAGGCCGCTGAGAGGTGAGAACAGGGCAGGGCAGTGACCCGCCCTCCCTGCGGGTCAAAGTGACAAGTGTGGGCCCCACAAAAGAGCAGACCAGGTGGGGTGCCAGGGCCGCACACCCCCTCCCAGGGACACCCAGGCGGAGGGGATGCCACTGGGGAGTCCTGCGGAGCTGGGGCCCTCCACAGGGGACAAGCAGGGCCACCCACAGCGCCAGGCCTCTGGGGTGTCCCCGCGGTGCTGCACGTGGGCCCCTTGGGGAGAGCGACGAGGAGTGGCCGGCAGCGGGACAGAGTGCTGGGTGCTCCCGCCGCCTTTCCCAGGGTGGGGAGGGCAGGGGAAGCGCTGAGCCCCCCCACCCAGCGCCTGAGGGTGCGGGACCCAGTCGACTGTCTGAGCAGGAAGGGCGCATCTGGGGGTAGGGAACAGAGGGGTCGGACACGGGTGGGACTGCGACACCCCAGGCCCCAAGACCTCCTGGCGCAGGACTAGGGGTCCCCGCCCGCTGTTTCGTGCTGCCAATGCCGTGGGCCCTGACCGCGCCCGCCCGTCTGTTCCCCGACCGGCGCCCGGCGGGGACGTCCCCTCGGGCTGTCCAGGGGCTCACCGTATGCGGCTCCGGCTCCCGCTCGGGCCCCGGGTCCCTGCTGCCCTCCGCGCCCGCCGAGCGCAAACTTTCCACCGGCGACGCTGGGTGGCGGCGGAGGCGGGCGGGGGCGGGGGCGGGGGCGGGGGCGGGGGCGGGAGTGGCCTGCGTAGTGGGGGAGGGAGGAGGGAAAGGGGGAAGCCGCAGACGGGGGTCCCTGCTGCCCTCCCCGCAGCGCTCCCGCCGCCCGCCTCCGTCCCCCAGGTGCGCCCGCGAGATCCCGTCCCCAGACCCTGCCTGCGGCTTCGCACCCGCGGCGCCCCCCGCCCAGACCCCGCCCCGCAGACCCCGCCCCGCAGACCCCCGCCCCGCGAGCTCGCCGTGCGCACGCCCGCGCCTCGGAACCCGCTGCAGACTGGGTCACCCCGGGCCCACAGCTCCCCGCGGGGCTCGCAGACGGACAGGGGGGCAAAGTGGAGGGCGCGTGGGTGGGACTGAGGTGGAGGCTGGGACTGGACGCCCCCTCCTCTCGGTCCCTCTCCCAACCTGCCGCGTGTGGGCATCCTCGGGGCTTCTTTCCCAGTGCGGAGCTGATTTGCTCCGAGGACTGGGCCCCCACTAACCCCCAGGGCAGCTCCTAAGTGACATTTCTTTCCAACCGCAGAGCAGGCTGGACGGGGTGGGGGAGGACGGAGCAGGTGGGGAAGGGGGGTCCCCCTGGGGCCCCCCATTTAACCCTGGGTCTCTGGTCCCCCTCTCCAGCACCACTCACTCAACAGCCCCTGGGGTAGGACGGGTGGGACGATGCCTTTCCCCAGCGGGCTGCCCCTGCTTCTCCAGGGCTGCCCTGTGGCCAAGGTGGACGCTCTACTCCTTCTATCCCTCCTCCTTCCCAGACTTCTGCCCCCAGTCACCCTCCCGAGGATGACCTCTCCTCTCCCATTTCCCTCCCCCAGGTCTAAGACCTGAATCCCAGCCCATACTCAGCGCCAGTGACTTCAGGGCCACCAAGCCCAGTGGACACTTTGGGGCCTCATCCTTCCTGGCCGTTCAGCATCCTGGGACCCTGATGGTCATGTCCTCCTAGAAAGCTCTCCTGTGCCTGTGGCTCCCCGGGTGGCACCCTCCTCCTCATCTGCAGTCCCCTCTGCTCTCCCTCTCTCTCCCACAGCTCCCACAGCCCCACCTGGGGAGCCCTCGCCCCTGGGCCACTCCCCTCTCCTCAAGGCACCTCCAATGCCCTTTGGCCTCTGGACACCTGGCCCGTCAGCAGGAGGGAAAACCCAGGAAGGTCTCCCGTCCATCAGCAAATCTTGATTCTCCTTCTGGTGTTTCTCTGGAATCAGTCTGGGGCTCCTCTCTGCTGTCAGCCCCTTTCCAACCACCCACTGTCACCCAAGACGTCCTCCCTGGCCCAGCAGGTCATGCTGTCCTTTGTCTTTGGGGCCCTTAACCCGACTCTACTTCTGTTTT